TGTTGACAGACTGAAGACATTCTAGCCAGGGGCCCCGTAGCCTGTTAGGAACTGGGCCGTACTGTGGGAGGTGAGTGGCAGGTGAGCATTACCGCCTGAGCTCTGCCTCATGTCCCATCAGCAGTGGCATCAGATTCTCATAAGAGCTTGAATCCTGTTGTGAACTGTGCATGTGAGGGATCTAGGTTGCTCCACCTTTATGAGAATCTAACTAATTCCTGATTATCTGAGTGGAACAATTTCATCCCAAAACCGTCTCCCCACCACCACCCCCGCAACCCCAGAAACCAGTCCCTCCTGCCAAAAAGGTTGAGGACCAGTGCTCCAGGCAAAGGGAACTGATTGGTCAAGGCAAAGCAGAGCTATAGCAAAGGCTTCTCTCAAGAGTAAGAGTAAGAATGCTTGTAGCCAACAGTGACCGAGTGCCTACTCAGTACCAGGCCTTACTCTAAGCTCTTCTACATATTATTATCCCATTTAATCTTCATAACAACCACAGGAGGTTGGCAGTATAATTATTCCCATGTGGCAAAAGAGGAAAATGACGTTCTGTTACTGGTCCCAGGTGTTACAGAGAAGCAGAAGGACCGGGAGTGACACAATACAGAAGATGGAAGAGCTCAATTCCCTGCAGCTCAGATGGGGAAAGGTGGAAGGGAGAGAGTGTGAGGGAGGGATACCCAAGCCAGAACTGCAGGGATCCAATACAGGATACAGAATTTGACCTTATACAGTGTGGGAGCTGCTTAAAGAGTTAATGCTTCTGAGTCTAAAGTAAGCAGAGCAGGCAGTGCGGAGGAGAAGCTGGCAGTGAGGCAGGGGGAGCAAAGAGGAAGTAAACTAGTGAGGAAGAGCTGGGACTGTGGAGGGTGGACAGGTGGCCACCTGCAAGCCATCAACTTTGATGACACAGGTAATCTTTGTCCTGTAGCTAAGCATGCATCTGGCCCAGGAGCTGGACAGCTGAAAGGGAAGAAGATCAGTGGAGAAGAAACAGACCCACATCAACATGCGTGAGCTGCAACAGGGCTGGAGCCCTGCACCAACTCAGGAACCAAACAGAGCTGCTATATCCCCTCTTGCATCCATGGCTAACAGTAGTCCACACCATGCAGGGAAGGGGATTCTGGGGCTGTGGCTCAGCTTAGTTCAGTCACAGTACCTGGCAGGTCTGGATCCCAACCCAGATTGGGTGTGTGTAGGGAAGAAGTAGCTGAGAGTGTCAACCAGGAGGATCTTGATGGCTGCCCAGTGAGTTTGGGATGACTTCAGTGCAATAATGGTGCTGGCTTTAGAGAGTTGTGTGTTGAGTTGGAAGCAAAGGTAGGCATCTACCTGGTGATATCCTGAAGGTGTTGGACATATCCGCTGGGTAGAAGGGCAGGAAGAGGGACCAGTGGGACCTCCAGGGTAAATTCCGAATTGGATGGGAGGTGTGTGTGAATGAGGAGACCAGAAGGCCGCAGCTGAGTCTCAGGTGATGCCTGCAGGCACAGGCAGAAAGGCTGGCAGACTGTGAGGGGCCCAAGTCAGAGTGGCAGGGGACAGGGGAGGCAGAGCCCTGGATGATGAGGGAAGGTTGTTTTGGGGGTGTAGACATCTTGGCCTCTTTCTCCTGGGTGGAAGCAGCTCTGATGGTGCCTGTGCCGTCTTCGGGGTTGGGGTATTGGAGGCCTCTTGAAGACCCACCTACCCACCCTCCAGCCCCCATGGGAGGGGCAGGGCTCATTGTTCAGGCTCAAAGCACTGGCGGCTGAGGGGTGAGACAATCCTCTGAGGCTTGGGGGGTGATCTCTGTCCATTCCACACGCCTTTTGAGGCCCCTCTGTATGCAGGAAGGGTGCTGGGGTTGGGGACCCACCAGGAAGTGCACATGCTAAGGTATGCCCGCTTGGAGGGAGCAAGCCAGGCAGTGAGCAGACAGACTGGTGGGAGGCAGAGGAGGAAACCCGGGAGAGGAACACCAGGGAGGGAGGCACCCCCAGCCAGGGAAGTGGCATTTAAGGGTGATTCTGACCGAGCCTCTAGACCTAACTACCATCGACAGGAAATCCAGGCTATGGCGCTGCAGTGGGCAAAGTCCTGGCTGTGGGATCTATAGGACAAACAACGCAGTGTCCCCTCCACTATACTGTGTGGAAAAACAGAGAGAACCAGGGAAACCTGTGGATGAAAAGTGAATTCATCCATGTAACAGCTCAGGGAATGTGTGGACCTTATTTGGATTCTGATTTTTTTTTTTTTAATTTAACATTTATGAGGAAGTAGCACTTGGAATGTTTCCTGGATATTTAATTATATTGAGGAATTATTGCTAAATATTTCTTGGGGTATGATAATGGTAATATTATTTCATATGTATATACACATGGCTGTATCAGGTAAAACATGTATGTCTGTATAAAACAATATTACTATTATACAGGTGTATATATGCGTATACATTTGTGTGTGTGTATATTTAGTTATTTAAAGGGTTCTTTGCTGGGCGTGGTGGCTCATGCCTGTAATCCCACTACTTTGGGAGGCCAAGGCGGGTGGATCACCTGAGGTTGGGAGTTTGAGACCAGCCTGGCCAACACAGTGAAACTTCTTCTCTACTAAAAATACAAAAATTAGCTGGGTGTGGTGGCTCACGCCTGTAGTCCCAGCTACTCAGGAGGCTGAGGCAGGAGAATCGCTTGAACCCAGGTGGGTGAAGGTTGCGGTGAGCCAAGATCGCGCCGCTGCACTCCAGCCTGGCAACAGAGCAAGACTCAGTTTCAAAAAAAAAAAAAAAGAGTTCTTATCTTTTAGAAACACACTAAAATGTTTATGGGTAATGTCATCTGACATCTGGGATTTTCTTCACAATGACATGAGAAGGCAGAGTTGATGTGACTGCAGCAGGGACAGGGGACTGGCTGTGAGTTGAGGTTTGTATGGTCTGGATGAAGGGTTCATGGGATGCATTATACAATTCTGTCTAGTTTTGCATATGTTCTAAATTCTCCATAATAAAAAGTAAAAAATAAAAACAGAGGATTAGTGAGACTCAGGGTTTGGGGCAGGAGCCCAGCATCTGGTGAGAGAAACCACTCAGGCAAAGCTCGGGGTGAGGGCAGCTGTTGGGCGTGTGAGGCCCCAGGGGTTCACAATTGCTGAAGCGCGAAGCTGTGCCAGAGCTTCACGTACCAAGAACACCGAGGCTCAGGCCCTGCACTCCAGGACAAATACCAGGCTCAATGGAGAGCCCTGGCTGGACCAGAGCCCAGTGGGAGGGCCCTGAATGGACTGTGGGGCTTGAAGGAGGGGAACAGAGGCAGCGGCCATTTGTTCTGCAAAGGCCGGGAGACCAGGTGGTACAGGAGGCCTCAGGCAAAGACAACCCAATGCCCTAGGAGCAGGGAGGCCTGGGGATGGAGCAGCAAGAACATGGTCATCCAGCCTCCCAGTGAACCTTTGCTGGAACTGTAGGACACCCACCTTTGCTTTGGAAATCCAGCTTCTCTGTTCTTCCTGGGTGACCTTGGACAAGTTACTTAACCTCTCTGATTCTGTTTCTTCCTATGTAAAGTGGGGATAAGAAAGGAGACCACTACTACTACTGCTGCCCTCCTTCCCCCACCTTGCCTAGTTCACAAGACAGGAGGAGAGAGAAAGCAAAAAGTTGGAAAAAAACAAAAGTAAGATAAATAGCCAGACAACCTTGGCACCACCACCTGGCCCTAGGAGTTAAAAAAAAGTAATAATAATAACATCAACCCCTGACCTAAACTACTTGTGTTATCTGTAAATTCCAGACACTGTATGAAAAAAGCATTGTAAAACTTTTTGTTCTGTTAGCTGATGCATGTAGCCCCTAGTCACGTTTCCCACGCTTGCTCGATGTATCACGACCCTTTTACGTGGACCCCTTAAAGTTGTAAGCCTTTAAAAAGGCCAAGAATTTCTTTTCCAGGGAACTCGACTCGTAAGATGCGAATCTGCCGACGCTCCCGGCCGAATAAATCACTTCCTTCTTTAATCCGGTGTCTGAGGAGTTTTGTCTACGGCTCGTCCTGCTACAGGGATAGGAGTAGTACCTACCTCATGAGGTCGTTATAGGATTAAATAAGAAAATACTCATAAAGCACAAAAAAGAGTGTATGTTAGCTGTTATTATCCTCTGAGTTTCAGGGAGGAAACCGCCCTCACGAGAGAACCCCGGTGGGGAGGTGGGAACATCACAGTACTCCCTGCCACCCTTACCAGGTTTGCGATTATTTTAAATAAAAGAAGCTGTTTCCTGGCCAGGCACGGTGGCTCACGTCTGTAATCCCAGCACTTTGGGAGGCCGAGGCAGAAGGATCACCTGAGGTCAGGAGTTCAAGACCAGCCTGACCAACATGGTGAAACCCCATCTCTACTAAAAATACAAAAAATTAGCCAGACATGGTGGTGGGCGCCTATGATCCCAGCTACTTGGAAGGTTGAGGCAGGAGAATAGCTTGAACCTGGGAGGCAGAAGCTGCAGTGAGCTGAGATCCCACCACTGCACTTCGTCTCTAAAGAATAAAAAAGACGCTGTTTCCTTACAGCTGTGAGCAGGGACAGATGCAGAAAAGGTGTTGAGAAAGAGATCAAGTAAAAGCCACTGGACCCCCGAGGGAGAAAGTGTGGTTGGCTGGAACCACTAGGCCAAGAAACCAGCCAAGGGTCTGGCTCCAGGTGGACTTTTTTTTTTTTTAGAGACGGTGTCTCACTATGTTGCCCAGGTTAGTCTTGAACTCCTAGGCTCAAGCAATTCTCCTGCTTCGGCCTTCCAAAGCCCTGGAATTACAGGTGCGAACCACCGCACCAGCCCAGACTGGGCTCCAGAAACTAATTCTGGGCCCTGTTGCCACCTCTTAGATGGCTTCTGGAACTGGGGTCTACAGGCGTGAAAGGTCAGCCCCCATGAGGGACAGGTGGGGCCCGAGTAGGCTCCTCCCACTGCGGGAGCGCTGGCCTTTCCCCTGCAGGGCTGTGGCTCTGGGACCACTTCCTCTTTCTTCACTCTGAAGCCAAGAGCAGGCCTGCTGAGCCTCAAGAAAGATGAGAACAGATTCACGGGTGATTTAGCCTATCTGTCCCAGGCCAAGGTGGCTGCATGTGCTAGCTGGAGGCCCCTCTCTCTGCTTCAAGGGTAGCTGAGATCCACCCTGGAAACCGGCAGGATGAAGGAGGCAAGTGAGGAGAAGCTGGCGTCTGTGTCCAACCTGGTCACTGTGTTTGAGAATAGCAGGTATGGGCGGCTGGGCTGGGAGGGTCACCATGGTGGGCTGGCAGCCACCCTCCAACCTTTCTGGCAGCTCTCTCCCTGGGCCCTGCCCCGGACCCTCCTCCTGCTGACGTTCCTCCGTCACAGATTCCTTGGAGCATGGGAGAGTGTCGGTGGGACACCAGGAACCAGGCAGGTGTGAGAGTGCCAGTATGTGTTGGGAGAGTCCAGACAGGCGTGGTGGTTACGAGGAAGCACGGGCAGATCAAAGCCCGTGTGTGGGCACAGGACCTCACCCAGTGCCTGCCAGCACCTCGCAGAAAAAGTAGCTATTCACCAAGCATTCACTGCCTATGATTAGGATAGCCATATAATTTGTCACTCAGCACACAATTGAAACTGAAAGTAAATGCCAATAAAATGTGGTGGTTGCAGGGGAGGCATTACAGGTAAAGCTGGGACCATATGAGGCAAACCAGAATGTATGGGCAGCCTACTGATAGGGTACTCCCTACTCTAGGCTCATGTCCCTACTTATTTAATTTAATCATTGAGCCTAACAGGGGTAGATTCTATGTCTGTTCCCATCTTGTAGATGAGAAAATGGAGACACAGAGAGGTGAGGATGCCAAGTGCTTTAAGTTAAGTATCTGGGGCAATGCTGGGCTGTCTGTCTGGAGGGAAAAGGCTGGGCCAAATGCGTGGAGTCATTGGTAGCCCTGGGAGCATGTGTGTTTGTGTGTGTGCGTGTGTGTGTGTGTGTGTGTGTGTGTGTTGTGTGTTATATGTGGCATCAATCCATTCTGCAGGCATTTCTTAAGCTCAGGACTGTGTTAGGGGCTATCCCAGGTAGGGTTTTCTGGATATAGACTCAGACGGAGGTTTGCCACAGGTGGTTTATCAGGGAGAGCTTTGGGAACAACAGCTGTGGGTGTGAGGGAAGCAGGGCTGGGTAGGGGGAGATTCTGAACTGCAGTGCACCTGCCACAGAGGCCTCAGCCTGTCCCAGGGAGCTCTGGAGCTGGGATGCCTCTTGGTTGTTCCAACTGAGGCAGAGGGCTGCGTATTTGTATCACCATGTGAACTGGACAGGAGACTCTGGGTGAGGCAGCTCTGTCTTCCAGAGAGTGATTACCAGAGAGGGACTCAGCCAATAAATTACCCGTCAGCCCCCAGTATTACCAGCAGCTGGTGGGGATGGTGTGGGGAGCCCTCACTCCTGAAGGAGGGACATGGGCGGCACAGGACAGCATCCTACAGGAACTGTAGAGGATGAAGAAGCGTTTCTGTATATTTGGATGCTGAACTCATCCAATAACCATGATGCAAGGTCAATCGATGCAAGACAATAGATATCCTAGGAATGACCCGGATGCTGTACTGAGGGCACTCATGGCAGGCAATGTTTCCTGTAGGCTTCAGGGTGGAGATGGCATAGATGTAGACCTAGAAGTCTTCAACTTCCTGAGGTGGGTGATTCTCCCCTGCTTTTCCTGGGGTCTTTGCCAAGCTCGTCCTGTTCAGCACCAAGGACAGCTCTTGGGAGCCGCCTTCCTGGCCCACCACCCCCTTGGGTGTGAGTGGATGGCACCACCTCACTCAACATGCTTGACGTGGACTAGGCACACTTGGGTGGAGCCCCTCAGCATGCTCTGCTCTGCCCAGGCGACACCTCTGCAGGAGCAGGCAGCCCTTAGATGGGAGTTAGGTCCCAGAGGGTGAGAGCCACTCCTTACTGAGTGAGGGGACCCATGCCAACTGCCTTGGCCTGGGCTTCTTTATGAGGTCTCCAGCACCTCAGCTGATCTGAAACTGAGGGGTCTAAGAGGAAACAGAAGCTGGCCAGGGGCACTAGAACAGAAATGCAGAACCTGAAACCAAATGTAGAACAGAAAGCCTGAGAACCAGCAACGCCCATGAGCTGCAGACCCATAGGCTGAGGAACCAGGGACTGGGGTGCCAGGGAGGGGTGGGAGAGCCTTGGAGTAGCCATACAGCACTAGGTCCCAATGCTCTCACTGCCACAAACCCAAATGTGTCACTTGGGGCAAGTCACTTTGACTCTGCGGACCTGTTTCTCCTTTACTCAAATGGGGAGGAGCAGGTTAGGGTGAAGGCTCAGGAAGCAGTTGCCTGATTTGAATCCCACCTCTGCCACTTCTGAGCCGCATGTAACTTATCCTTTCGAGACCTCAGTTTCCTTGACTGCAAAACATGGGTAATGAAAACCTTTCTCATGGAGTTTTGGAGATTTCGCATCTGTTTGGCCTTCCATTTCCTGGCCTGTCTTTCTCATAAGGATGCCTGCCCTGTGCTGTCATCATGAGCCTTTCCACACCGAGGGCAACGCTGGGTATATTCAGCAAGGGTGGGCTCTGTTACCTAAAGAATTTGACTGGCTTGCAGAACCCAGTACACAGGGCAATAAAGGTGCCCTATGAAGGCCCATCCCTGGGAGAACAGAGAATCTGCTGCTGGGCTGGGTCTTCCTGCTTCTGTACATGTGGAGAGTGTTGATCCCATTGAAAAGCCCCAGCTTTTGCAGGTCTGCTCTCACTTTAGATTGTTCTGTGGCTCCCACCTTCCCTTGATGTATAGGTTACCGATGTGGAAACTGAAAACAGAGGTGAGGTCCAAAGGTTAGGATGATCCAGGGGGCACCGCTTAAAAACCCCTATATACAGAAAGGATTTCTGGACACTGTGGTTTCATTTTAAACAAGGAAGTATGTAGTTCCCCAGAAAATAAAATACAGTCCACCCTGACTCATTTTGAACACTGAGTTCCTCCCAAGAATGTGTTGGGACAGAAGTGAAAGTCTTACTTAGCATGTTCCCAAAGAAAGCCAGGCACCCAGGGTCCCCTGCACTGGAGATTTGCACCAGGCAACCACATCCACACCAGGGACTTGCTGGTGTTTTCCCTGTTCTCCAGGGAGGAAACCCTCAGGTCTGTCTCTTCTCCTCAGGACTCCAGAAGCAGCACCCAGAGGCCACAGGCTAGAGGACGTGCATCACCACCCTGAGTGCAGGCCTCCCAGGTCCCCAGGACCATGGGAGAAGCTGAATGTTGGGGAGGCCATGGGGTCTGAGCCCAGGACAGTCAGCGGGAGGTACCTGAACTCCCTGAAGAACAAGCTGTCCAGTGGAGCCTGGAGGAAATCTTGCCAGCCTGTGACCCTCTCAGGATCGGGGATGCAGGTGCCTGAGGGCTGAGGTAGAGGTGTGGGGTGCTGTGGTGGGGAGCTCTCCCTGACCTCTCCTCCACACATTCTTCCCTAGCCAGAGCCAGCTGTTCCCCAGGTGGGGATCTTGTGTGACCAGAGGTCAGCTGGGAGCTAGATTTCCCCATGCTTAATGGTCTTTGATTCACTGACTGCCTGCTACGGACTGTGCTGGATCACTTCGCGAGTCCCTCGTGTAGGAGGTTTTTGGACAAGGAAGTTGAAACACAGACAGTTTTAAGGAACTTATTCAAGGCCACACAGCTTGAAACAGTCTCCAGCTTGTGAACCTGATACTCTTCTCAGGTGGGACCTCAGTTTACCCACTGGAGGAGACAACAATCTCAACCTAGAAATAGAGGTCTGAGTGTGAATTGTCCTGCCCTTAGACTAAAGCCCGGTCTGATTTCTTCTGTGGCTTGCAGTTTTCTCATCTGTAGAGTTCAAGGGTTGACATGCAAATACTGTGCACCCAAATTCCCTGGAGTCACATCCCAGCACTTCTGCTTACTAACTGTGTGTCCTGGGTCAAGTCACTTGAGTCTCTTTGTGCCCGTTTCCTCATTTGTAAAATGGGGATGGTGGTTGTAGTGATGTGTCCTGGTTTTCAATCACTGCTGAACAAACCTCTCAAAAATGTAGCAGCTGGCCGGGCACAGTAGCTCATGCCTGTAATGCCAGCACTTTGGAAGGCCGAGGTGGGTGGATCACCTGAGGTCAGTAGTTCAAGACCAGCCTGGCCAATACAGGGAAACCCTGTCTCTACTAAAAATACAAAAATTAGTCGGGCATGGTGGTGGGCGCCTGTAATCCCAGCTACTCAGGAGGCTGAGACAGGAGAATCACTTGAATCCAGGAGGTGGAGGTTGCAGTGAGCTGAGATCATGCCACTACACTCCAGCCTGGGTGACAGAGCAAGATTCTGTCTCAGGAAAAAAAAAAAAAAAAAAAAACCAGAAAAAATGTAGGGGCTGAGTGTAACTGTTTATTATTTCTCACATTTTGTGAGTTGCCTGGGATGCTGCCGGGAGGTTTTTCTACTGGCCTCACTTGGGGGTCTGTGTGATTCTGCTTGGGCTGCCGTAACAAAATACCCCAGACTTCAACACCAGACATTTATTTTCTCACAGTTCTAGAGGCTGGAAGGCCAAGTTCAAGGTGCTAGCAGGTTTGATTTCTGGGCAGGTCTCTGTTCTTGGCTTGAAGACTGCCACTTTTTCAGTGTGTCTTTACATGGGCATTTCTTTGTCATCCCTGGTGTGCCTTCCTCTTCTGACATTAATCCTACCAGTTTAGTTCCCTACTCTTATCATCCCATTTAACCTCAATTACCTCATTCAAGGCCTCATCTCCAAATACACTTACATTGGGGGTTAGGGCTTCAACACAGGGATTTGGTTGGGGGACACAGTTTAGTTCCTAACAGGATCTCTCAAGTAGCTGCAGTCAGAGGGCGGCTGAGGCTGGAATGCCCAAGACAGCTCAGCTCGCAAGTCTGGCATCTGGGCAGGGACAGCCAGAAGACTGGGCTCAGCTGGGATGCTGGCAGGGCTGGGCTCTTTCTCCGTGTATTCTCCAGGCCTCTCCTCTCCACGTGGCCTGTCCATGAGGTCTCCCTATCAGAGGTGCCAGACCCCTTGATGTAGTGTTCACAGCTCCTAAGACAGCACAGGTGGAAGCTTCCGGGCCTCTTAAGGCTAAGGCTGAGAACTGGCACAGCCTTGCTCAGCTGCATTCTCTGTGAAAGCCATCCCAGGGCCGGCCCAGATGCACTGCGGGAGGGCATGAATCCCGGGAGGTGTGCTTCACTGCAGCAACTTTGGAGACTGAACTGAGGTCCCCATCAGAGGAGACCAAAGCTGTCTTTCCCCTTTTTCTTCTTTTCTCCCCTCCAATCATCCGCAGGAGCCAGAGAAGAAGATCGTCCAGGAGCTGCTGGAGACAGAGCAGGCCTACGTGGCACGCCTCCACCTGCTAGACCAGGCCAGTGGCCAGGACACCCCCCTCCAGAGCCCCAGCCCTGGGTCTCCTCACCCGACCCCTTCTCAGCCTTCCCACCCCACTCACCAGAGCTGAGTCAGGAAGCCTTAGCCCTTTAACCTCAACGACTGGGGTTGGGGTAGAATCGGGAGGGCTTGTTATCAGCACTCCCTATTCTGCCCGTGGTGCCCAGGCTGGCCCCTGTATAGCAGAGAACACACCAGCTGGCCCTTGCAGGCCTGCACAGTATCCTCATCTGTCATCTCAATGCCCACAACCTCACAATGACCTTACCTTTCATAGTTTTTAAGGACCCCTAAGACTAGAAGGTTATTCATCGTCGCAGGGAGCTCTATTCTGATGAAGTCCAAGACCTCCATAGACCCAGGTTGGGCCTGTTTATGGCATTCATCAGCTTCCAGTCTTTGGCCAAGTCCCTGCATCTCTAGGCTTTGCCTTGCCCCTCTGTAAAGTGGCCAGAACACAGCCTTCCCTGCCTTCTCTTCCTGGGGTTGCTGTGAGGATGCCGGGAGATCAGGAAGGTGGAAGCATGCAGTAGGCTGGGTGGGACCCTAGATCCCCCGGGCCGGTGTGTGGGTGGCTCCCTGTCACTGCAGTGAGTGACCAGTGGTGGCGGCTACAGGTGTTTTTCCAGGAGCTGCTGAGGGCGGCCCGCAGGAGCAAGGCCTTCCCCGAGGACGTGGTCAGGGTCATCTTCTCCAACATCTCCTCCATCTATCAGTTCCATTCTCAGTTCTTCCTCCCAGAGCTGCAGCGGCGCCTGGATGACTGGTGAGGTCCTCTGGGAGCCCCTGAGGTCTCAGACCAAGCCCTGGCCAGGTGGAGGTGGGGAGAGCCCCCAGGGCACTGGGTTCAGCTCCTAGGGCCAGGCGCTTGTTGTGTGGCTGTGACAGTCTCCTCCGCGGGGCTTGGTCTGTCTGCACAGTGAGGGGCTTGGGTGAACGCGCCCTGAGAGGCTGTATGTGTACAGACTGCTTCCTGGGGAAAGGGGTGGATCAGGACCTGGCCAAGTCAAGTGACCAAGTGACTTTGGGAACAGTGAAAATAGCCAGTGCTAACTGAGGGCTTCCTACAGGCCTGACCTTGGGCTTTCCACCTATTAACTCACTCAATCTTCATATCAGCCTGCTGTGTGATGATGGCACCATGGTTGTGCGAGAAACCGTCTTGTTTTCAGAGACGGCTACTAAAGCATTTAGCAGTGAAGTTACTTGCATTATATAGTTTGCCACGGAGTCTAGGATGTCCTTTAAGATCTTTGGCAAAGAAGAATGTTAGTAATGGTTAAACCTAGTGATATATTGATTGCTTAAAACATTTATAATAGACTCTTTTTTTTTTTTTTTTAAGAAAATAATAGCCAGGTTTAGTGGCTCACTCCTGTAATCCCAACACTTTGGGAGGCCAAGGAGGGTGGATCACTTGGGCTCAAGAGTTTAAGACCAGTCTGGGCAACATGGTAAAACCCCATCTCTACCAAAAATACAAAACTTAACCAGGCGTGGTAGCAGACACCTGTAGTCCCAGCTGCTCAGGAGGCTGAGGTTGGAGGATTTCTAGAGTCCAGAAAGTCGAGGCTGCAGTGAGCCATGATCGTCCCACTGCACTCCAGTCTGGGTGACAAAGAGAGACCCTGACCTTTCAAAAAAGAAAAAAAAAAGGCCGGGCGCGGTGGGCTCAAGCCTGTAATCCCAGCACTTTGGGAGGCCGATGACGGCGGATCACGAGTCAGGAGATCGAGACCATCCTGGCCAACACGGTGAAACCCCATCTCTACCTAAGAAATACAAAAAACTAGCGCGGTGCGAAGGGTGCGGGGCGCCTGTACGTCCCAGCTCCCGGGAGGCTGAGGCCGGAGAATGGCGTAACCCAGGAGGCGGAGCTTGCAGTGAGCTGGATCCGCACGGCACTCCAACTGGCGCCAGAGCGAACTCCGCTCAAAAAAAAAAAAAAAAAAAAAAAAAAAAAAAAATTATAAAAAAAAAAAAAAAAGAAAAGAAAAAGAAAAGAAAGAAGGCTGGCGGGTGCTCAAGCCTGCCTAATCAGCCACTTGGAGGCGAGGCGGGTGGATCAAGAGGTCCAGGAAGATCCGAAAGACCATCCGGCTAACATGGTGAAACCCGTCCTCTCACAAAAAAAAAAATACAAAAAAAACTAGCGGGCTGGTGGCAGGCACCTGTAGTCAGCTCTCAGAGGCGGCAGGGAGGCGTGCAACCCGGGAGCGGAGCTTGCCGTGCGAGCCAGATGCGCACTTGCACTCCAGCCTGGGCGACAGAGGCGGAACTCCCGTCTCAAAAAAAAACCAAAAGAAACAGCCGCCCCGTGGTGGCTCACGCCTGTAATCCCCAGCACATTTGGGTGGCCGGGTGTGGATCACTTGAGGCAAGGAGTTTCGAGACTAGTCTGGTCAACATGGTGAAACCCTGTCTCTACTAAAAATACAAAAAAATTAGCTGGGCACTTTGGCATGTGCCTGTAATCCTAGCTGCTGGGGAGGCTGAGGCAGGAGAATCACTTGAACCTGGGAGGCAGAGGTTGCAGTGAGCCAAAATCGCGTCACTACACTCCAGCCTGTGAGACAGAATGAGACCTGTCTAAAAAAAAAAAAAAAGAAAAGGACACGAAAAGAGAAAAGAAAAGAAAAACCCTATAAGATCGCCTGCCATCATTCCAATTTTTTTCAATGAGAAAATTAGGGTACAAAGAGGTTAAGTGACTTGCCCGGGAACACGGCTAGCATGATTTGTGCATCTCAGGAATCAGGCTCAGGAAGCCTCACTCCCAGGCCATGGCTCCTTGCTGCTCTGCTCTAGCAAGTCCTGCCATGGGATGATCCTGGAAAAGTTCTGTGTGTGTGTGTGTATATATATAATATGTATATAATACATGATATATAAATATTATATATATAAAATATATATTATATATAATATACATTATACAAATACATTAAAAAAATATATATATATATATAACATGTATTATATAAAGTTATAGATATGTATAATCTTATATTATTATATATAAGTATATAAATATAACTCATAATATAATTATATTACATACAATATATTTAATATATGAATACAATTATATAATATGTTTATAGTACCAATATAATTAAATTTATATGTACTAATCATTGAGCTAATATATAATATATATATTATAATATTAAATATATTAATATAATATATATATTTATATAATACCATCTATAGTGTCATAGACCATAATCCATATTATGATATTGTTACTATATACCTATAATATGAATATACTATATGTTATATATAATATAATTTTATATATTTATATGTATACATATATAATATATACTTAAATATATAATATATTATAATACTTTTTGCGTATATGCATATTATATATCTTATATATGAAACATATACATTATACATATTGTACATATGTTATTTACACATGCGTAGTATGTAAAATATATTAATATATTTATATAATTATATACTTAAATACTGACATGTTCTACCACATATAAATACCATAATTTTATATAATGTATATGTTCATAATATGCCTATTTATAATATTTTACTATATTCTATGTTATTTATATATTAATATTTTATATGTATATATTTTATTATAATAAAATTTTTATGATAAGTTTATATATTTTTATATTTTAATTTTTTATGTATTATATATTTTATATATTTTGAATATTTTGATATATATTATATAGTTTATATTTATATATTTCAAAGTATATTTTTATATTTTTAATATATTTATTTTAGTAGAGATACAATGTTTTATAAAAACATTTTATGTTTTGCATTTTATGTTTTTTTATATTATTGTTTATATATATATTATTTTTAATATATATTTATATATATATATATTAATATTTTTTAGCATTGGGGGCAAGGAATGAGATTTCACCACACTGCCCAGGCTGGTCTTGAACTCCTGGGCTCAAGCTATCTGCCTGCCTCAGGTCTCCCAGAGTGCTGGGAGTACAGGTGTAAGCCACTGTGGCCGGCCAATCCTGGAGAAATTCTTGCGCCTCTGAGCCTCCACTTCCTCACCTCTAAGATGGGCTAGTGGCCGTCCCCACCTGCAGGGTTTTGAGAATTACATGGAATGAGACATGCAGCATGTTCTGGGTAGTGCTTGGCAGGTGGCCCTTGTTATTGTTACATAATGAAGCATTGAGCAATTACTGAACACCTGCTGTGGGCCCAACACTGCGCTGGGCCTTGTGGATGAGGCCAACCTGGGACCAGAACAGCTTTTGGCCTCAGGAGGCTTATAGTCTAAGGAGTAGAGGGGCACATGCTTGTGAGGATGACACCCCTGTGCCCCGCCCACACCCAGAATTGCCATGAAAAGCTTGCTTTGGGGGATTCAGGGAACCTGGCCTCGCCTGGCCCTACCTAGAGTTGAGAGGAGGTCTCTAGCCTGAGGGCAATCCCTGTGCCCCTCCTGCAGGACAGCCAACCCCCGCATCGGCGATGTGATACAGAAGCTGGCCCCCTTCCTGAAGATGTACAGTGAGTATGTCAAGAACTTTGAGCGAGCAGCTGAGCTGCTGGCCACCTGGACCGAGAAGTCTCCACTCTTCCAGGAGGTTCTCACTCGCATCCAGGTGAGGCTGCAGGAGGGCTGGAGTCAGCATTGCCACTCCCAGCGTGCAGTGGCTCAGGTTGCCTTGAGTGATTTAGGGCCTCTCCCAGGCTCGGGTGCTTCCACAGGCCCCTGCCCACTTGTCTGGCCCTCAGGGGCAGCCTGACCCACCTCCCTTCTCTCACCCTCTCCCTGTTGTTCCCCACATCCCTCCCCAAGAGCAGTGAGGCTTCGGGCAGCCTGACCCTGCAGCACCACATGCTGGAACCAGTGCAGAGAATTCCACGCTACGAGCTGCTGCTCAAGGAGTACGTCCAGAAGCTGCCAGCCCAGGCCCCAGACCGGGCCGATGCTCAGAGTGAGGACACCCCAGGGGTTCCAGAGGGCTGGGGAGGCCTAAGTCATTCCCATATACTTATTGAGCTCCTGCTAAAATAGTTACGACAACCATCAGTCATCAACATCAAGTGCTGGCACTTCATACACATTATCCATAGCATTAGCCATTTTTCACAGATGAGGACACTAAGACCCAGAGAGGTTTAGTGACTTGCTCAAGGTCACACAGCCAGAAAGTAGCAGAACTGGAATTTGAACCCATGCCTATATGATGCCAAAGCCCATATTCCTTCCATTATACCCTCTAGGTCTGGCTTGTTTTGGGGAGCAGTGAGAGTCACCAAAGCCCAACACCTAATGACTAACATTCAGTGGCTTCCAGTCTCTCAGCTCTGGGGGGCTGCCACCATTCAGACACCCCATGGCTGGGCTGCACAGGCAGGGCTGCTCCTGGGGGCTGTCATGGCAGGTCCTGAGGGCCCTTTGTGGAACTTCAAGGACCTCCTGCCCCAGCCACCAGCCCCGATTTTCAGGGACTAAACTCTGGCCCTGCCCCTTTCAGAAGCCCTGGACATGATCTTCTCAGCTGCCCAGCACTCCAATGCAGCCATCACTGAGATGGTGAGCAGCCCGCCCTCCCCTGGAGCCCTGTCCCCCTCCCTGCAAGTCTTAGCCTGGTCCCACCCATGACACCTATCCCACTGCTGCCCTTGCTCTCACACCCCAATCCCCGTCCCCACAAGGCAAGCCTTCCAGAAGCAGAGCCCTGCCCAGACTTGACTGAGAATGCACCCCAACCCCCCAGGAGCGGCTGCAGGACCTGTGGGAGGTGTACCAGCGCCTGGGCCTCGAGGACGACATAGTAGACCCTTCTAACACCCTGCTCCGTGAGGGCCCGGTCTTCAAGATCTCCTTCCGCCGCAACGACCCCATGGAGCGCTACCTTTTCTTGGTAGGAGGGTGCTGGGAGCTCCTCTCCACACCAGGGAGGGAGGTGGAGCCACTCTGGCCTGAGTCATGCTGCCTGGCCTCTACCTGGCACTGCAGGGGGACAGGGAAGAGACCGCTTCTCTGTCCTTTTTTGCTTTGGCACCCAGATGACTTTGGACAGGTCACCTGCTGCCTCCAAGCCTCAGAGATTTCCAACCTACAGGTTTCCCAGACATGTCCTAAGAAGCAATAGAGTCAGAGTTTGAACCTGGTCTGGCTCCAAAGCCTGTGGTATTAATCTGTGCTCTAGAGAGTGCACAGCAGGAGGGAGTAAGGTTAGCTACTAGGAAGAACTGCCCTGGGTTTGCATGGAAGAAGCTGGGGGGATCTCCTGAGATCTGGAAAGGTGGTCCTGCCTGGAGGTCTGGGGGATGGAGCTAAAACCTCTTGTAAACCCCTATCATCCTGAGCCCCTGTTGAGAAAGGCCTTGTAGGTTTCTGAAGGCCTGCTATGGTCCCTTGTAGGGTGACCCTTCAGTAACCATCCTAGGGGAATGGGAGCTTGATAGCCCCTTCCTCATCACCCGCATCATCACCTGTGACGTCCTGCGAGCTGGCCAGAGTGTGGTCAGAGGGGAGGGGGTCCAGTGGTGCTCAGCCCACCCTCGGAGAGGCCCCACCTAGCCGTCCTCCCTGCCCCTGCCACGGGCCACTCACACCTGTGCCTCCTGCAGTTCAACAACATGCTGCTCTACTGCGTGCCCAGGGTGATCCAGGTGGGTGCCCAGTTCCAGGTGAGGACCCGCATCGACGTGGCCGGGATGAAGGTAAGAGGCTCCACCTCAAAGGTGGGACTGAGTACAGGGAGTAATAGGAGGGGCCAACCAGGTTCTCAATCAGAGAACCAAACCCCTGCAGGGCCTGGACAAATGTGGAGATGGAAGAGTGTGGGGCTAGAGCTCTCCCCTCTGGGCTCCTAGCCCTCCTGCCCCGTCCTTCCCAGCTTCCCACAGGCCTGGCCCTCCCTTTGGGGCACTGCATGAGCCAGCTGGGCCTTTCTCTGCTTTCCCTACTGTTTATACCACTGCTTCGAAAACTTTCATGTATGTGAGAATGCTCTGGGCATCTTGTGAAAATGCAGGTTCTGAGTCAGGAGGTCTAGGTGGTGGGGGGCCTGAGATCCTGCATTTCTAACCAGCTCCCAGTTAAGATGGACAGACAACTGACTCCACCTGCAGGATTGTGGGAATTAAGTGAAATGAGACTTGTCCTGGGCAGTGTACGCTGATACTGTAGGAGCACAGACCACGTTTTCAGTAGGAAGGGTCTCCAGTGTCAGCTCAGCGGCTGGCTTATGTGTGTCCCCATCTACTTCATCCAGAGATAATGGCAAATGAGCAGGGCCAGTAGTTCGTCATGGAGCCCATTGACTGGGTGTCCCCATGGGGGACCACCAGATCCTCCTAGCAGCCTCATGATGCAGGGGCTGTTAGAATCTTTTGGATTTTTTTTTTTTTTTTAGATGGAGTCTCACTCTGTTGCCCAGGCTGGAGTGCAATGGCACAATCTGGGCTCACTGCAACCTCCGCCTCCTGGGTTCAAGCGATTCTCCTGCCTCAGCCTCCCAAGTAGCTGGGACTACAGGTGCGAGCCACCATGCCCGGCCAATTTTGGTATTTTTGGTAGGAGAGATGGGGTTTCACCACATTGCCCAGGCTGGTCTCAAATTCCTGACCTCAAGTGATCTACCTGCCTTAGCCTCCCAAAGTGCTGGGATTACAGGTGTGAGTCACCACACCCAGCCTGTTTTTTATCTTTTAAAAATATTTTAATTTTACTACTTAAAAAATACAGATTATACACATTCTAAAGTCAAATAATATAAAAAATATATACAATGAAAGTCTCCTCCCACTCTATCCCCTAGGTCCCCTTCCTGAAGGCAACCCTTGCTTCTTGTGAGGCCCTCCAGAGTGGCCTTCGCCTAGCAAACAAATAATATATAATAGGATTGTTTCCTCATTTATACCAGAAGCAGTGGTATACTCTACACATTTTTCTGCACTTTGCTTGTTTTAACTAACTGCAAATGCTGGAGACTGAGGTGTCCCTGTACTTGAGAGCTTCCTCATCCTTCTGCCCAGCTGCATTGCGTCCCACTGTGCGGATGCACCGGAATTTCTTCAGTCTTCTGCTGAGAGACACTTAGATTGTTTTCAGTTGTCAGCAGCTGCAAATGAGGCTGCAGTGAATAGCCTGGTACAGCCTGCCTGTGTGTGAGTGTATCTGTAGTTAATCCCATTTTTAAACACGAGAAAATCAAGGCCCTAGAAAACCTTTCTAACTTAAGTAACTTGCTTCAAGGTCATATCGCAAATGCTAGTTTGAGTGACCAAGCCAGGATTTAGATGCAGGTGTAACAAAGGCTGGTGCTTCTGCATCTAATCACCACGCTCTGCTGTCACCTATTAAGGCTTCAATCCAGAGGGTTAAAGCCTCTGATGGGATTTCTGGCATCATGGAGGACATGGTCAGAGAAGCTTCCTAACCACCCGTCTCTGCTGGCTCCTGAGTCCTGGTGTGTCCTGAGGGCTGGGGCTGGAAGAAGCAGAGGTCTGGTCTGGCCCATTTTGGCACTCTCTCATCCACCATCACCCCTACCTGCTTCAGCCCCAGAAGGGAGCTGCAGGCAGGAGTTGAACCAGAATGCTCTACCCTCTAGAGCCCCTGGGGCCTCCAGAGACCCCAGCAAAAGAGCCCGTTCCCTGCTCCTGACTGGGGTTGCTTGGCATTTGGAGCAATCCAGGGCCTGGGGGTGGCGTGCAGCCTGGGAATGATGAAGGCTGATGAGGGAACATGGGTTCACAGCTCACCCCCACACCTGAGCTGACTGAAGTCTTTTACCAGTGCAGCCCTGGCCCTGGCATCTAGCTTTCCATCCTAAAGGGACCAGAATGTCCCATAGACCAGGGCGTGTGCAGGCTTGTACGTCTGGAGTCCTTGGTGAATGAGGCTGAGAAAGGCAAGTTTATGGAGAGCTACAGACAGAGAAATGGAGACAGGTGGCCCTGCCAAAGGACTGTCAGAGGCCCAGGCATAGAAAAATAGAGATCGACAGATAGGAAGGCTAAGAAATATAGAAACCAAAACAGAGTCATAGAGAGAAAACAGAGAGAGCCGAGCCTGAGAGCATCAGATGCTCTGGGTGTGTGTTGAGAGCTCACCGGCCCTGTGTGTGCTGGGTTTCTGGAGTCTGCTAGTCTTGGCTAGCATGTCTGATACTCCAGCAGCCGCAGAGCACCCTCTCCTGGATGGCATGGGCTTGGCAAGTGCAGAGCTGTCCACTCACCCTACTTCTGTGCAGGAACTATTTTCTGAGTCTGAGATTTGGAGGCAAATCTCGCCTTTGACCATCATGATGGTTCCTATTGGCCTATGACTCCCTGGCCTCCTCCTTCCTAGGTGTCAGGGAGGCCTAGTTCACAGCAGCTGATTCTCCCCAAGGTCTGACTTGGTCTTAGCAGTTTTGCCATCCCACACAAGACCAGCCTGGGAAGAAGGAAGGGGTGTGGGCACACATATCCAGGGGCTCCACGTACAGTTGTGCAGGTTGTACACTGCACAAGGATACCTCATCTAAGATGTTGTCTTCTGCAGCCAACTTCAGATTAGCAGATTTTGATACAATATCATAGATGGTATATTTATAGTGAGAATTGTCCGGCAGATGGCAGTCAAATGTCTTGTTCCAACAATATCTAGGTATTATGCCAGTTTGCCAACAGATGTCAGTAAAGTGTTTTGAGGAAGGCTGTCCTTTTCTAATTATTACAAAGGTACAGTATGGACTAGCAGGGGATTGAATTGACCCAGCCCTGGGGAGAGTGGTTGAGGCTCAGCTCAGCAGAGCTTGGGAAACTCCTCTCAAAACCTGCTGGGGAGCTGGAAGCCTCTGTATGAACATCCCTGGGGCAGCCTAGACCCTCAGGTCAGGAGCTCCCAGTTCCCTTTTTTCTGTCAAAAGCATGATATTTCTTCCTATTTCTGGACTGCAAACCTGGGATTTCTCCCTTCTTTTCCCTTTCCCCTCTCCCTGACCCAATTAGAAACCTCTTTTGTCTCTCCAGTGCACCTGGGCAGGCAGGGACCGTCTATGATGTTGCTTCCTAACTGGCCTTTGAGCCACAGGTTTGTCCCATTTTGCCCAGATCCAGCCCCTCATCCCTTGCACACAAAGAGGTATTTGGCTCTTTCCCAAATACCTCTTTCCACATGACCACCTCCCCAGTGCCAAGGGCATCGAATCCAAATCACATCAGCCCCCTCTAAGGCGAAGACTGGGGAGTGAGGCTGCAGACTAGGACTAAGCTGGGGAAGAATGTGCTGTACTCAGTGCTGTCTGGGTTATGGTGAGCTGCCCTGGAAGTGTGCAAAGACCTGGTCACCGCATAGGAGGCCGCAGAGGAGTTCAAGTGTTCAAGGAATTTAATGGCAACGAAGTTCCCCTGCACAGAGGCTCTTGTGCTCTCGGCCTGTGTCTTCGGTACTCTTTGCAAATCTCTCTCCACGCTGTCTGGAGGAAGTGCGCTTACAGGACTCTGGGGGTAGGATGGAAATAGATGTTCTTCCATCTTACCTTTGGGGGCTGAAAACCTGGGGTGGAATCCTTCTTTTGCCCCTTTTTTGTTGAATCTATTGTCAGAAATGGTCATCTCCACCTCACACTGGGTCAACTTAGCTGCTGCTAAAATTCCAGGAGCCATAGGTCCATTTGCTTGGAGGGAGGCCCAGTTGTAGGAGCATTTGCTTGGCTCAACAGGATTAGGGAGGTGGCGAACAAGTTCTGCATCCCTGTCTCTCGAATTTGAATTGTCCCTTGGGCACAATCCACCTCCCTCCCCTCTCCAGTGCTGCGCCTGGGACCCGGGGGATGGCGAGTCTGAGCCGGTTGCCTCCCTCCTCTTGGCAGGTGCGGGAGCTGATGGACGCTGAGTTCCCCCACTCCTTCCTGGTGTCTGGGAAGCAGCGCACTCTGGAGCTGCAAGCCCGGTAAAGCAGCTGGGTGGCAGCCCAGGGCCAGGCGGGAAAACTGGGAGGGGCTGATCTCAACACCTGTGTTCACTTTCCGAGCAGGTCCCAGGAGGAAAAGATTTCCTGGATGCAGGTATGGGAACGCTCCAGGCCTTCCGGGAGTCTTTTTCCTTTCTCTTTTTTTTTTTTTCTTTCGCAGTAATGGGTTATCTTGATGAAGCTCCTGGGATTCTCCCTAGCCTATTCGGGCTGAGGGGCAGGGAGTGGTGTGTGTATGCATGTGTGTGTGTGCATGTGTGTATGCATGTGTGTGCATCCGTGTGGGCATGACTGTGTGTGTTTGTGTGTGTGCATGCATGTATGTGTGTGTTTATGTATATGTGTGTTTCTGTGCATGCATGTGTGTGCATGTGTTTGTGTGTATGTGTGTGTACGTGCATGTGTGTATGTGTCTTTGTGTGTGTATATGTTTGTGTGTCTGTGTTTGTGTGTGCATGCGTGTGTGTGTGTGCACGCTCCCACACCTCCGTGTGCCCAGCTGCTCCCTGCTCTTCCTAAGGAGCTGCTCTGTGGTAGTTTGGAGACAGATCTGGGTTCCTATCTTGCTGCTTCTCATTGCCCAGCTGGGCAGTCCAGGGCCAGTCACTTACCCTCTCTGAGCCTCAGTTTGTACATTTGTAACCTGGGGTTGGTAGTTTCTCCTCTGATAAGGTGGCCTGTGTGTGTGTAGAATCCAGCATCTGGCACCCAGTGGGCTTTCAGCCCTGTCTGTTGCATGTGTGGATGGATGGACCGAAGAGCAACCCCTCCCTCCCACACCTCAAGCCCCAACCCTCCCTCTCCCTGCACCCCAGGCCTTCCAAGCAGCCATTGACCAAATTGAGAAGCGGAATGAAACCTTCAAGGCTGCGGCCCAGGGGCCTGAGGGAGACAGCCAGGAGCAGGAGGTGAATGAAAGCTTTTTCATCTGTTGCTGGAGCCACCAACCCAAACAGAGCTTGTTCCCTCTCTGTTCTACTTGTACCAGCTTGGAGGGACAGGGAGTGTCACCTGCCAGGAGAGACTGAAGGGACCAGGGGAAGCCCTCACAGCGCATCCCCCGACTCAGTGCCTGAGCATTCCCTGTTAGCAACGCTTTCTTTGGGAGCCTCTCTGTACAGCTGTCATGGGGAAGGGTTTCATGTCCCTGCAGCTGCAGGGGGCAGCAGGGTTTTGGGTTTGAAGTATCTGACAAATGTAAAGCCTCAGGGAAGATGGAAGGTGAGTGGGGTAGGGGCTGGGGAGGATATCTGTGGTTTGAGTTCAGATTTGAGCTCAACTCTGGCTTGCTGGATGACTGCTGAGTCATTTGACCTCTCTGGGTCTCAGTTTCCTCACTTATACAATGGGAATAATGGTAACTAATCTATCATAAGGCCTTGATCAGGTCAGTCAGCCTCCTGTGAAAGCCCCAGGGAAGCCCAACACACAGAATCCCTGCCACAGCAGGTGGACACAGGGCCTCGGGTCCTCGGAGGATGGGCAGAAGAGGGTCACCAAGGGCCCATTCCTGCCCAACTCCCCTTAACCCACAGCTGCAGTCTGAGGAGCTGGGCCTCCGAGCACCACAGTGGGTCCGGGACAAGATGGTGACCATGTGCATGCGCTGCCAGGAGCCCTTCAACGCTCTGACGCGCCGTCGCCACCACTGCCGGGCCTGCGGCTACGTGAGTACTCCTGCCAGCACTCCTGCCTCCACCTGCCCCACCCAGGCCTCCACCTTTCCTACCTAGGCCTCCCCTTGATCCACTTAGGCCTCACCTGTCCCACCTAGGACTCCACCTGTGTCACCTAGGCCTCCACCTGCCCCACCGTGGCCTCCACCTGTCCCACCTAGGCCTCCACCTGTCCCACCTCAGCCTCCACCTGCACCACCCAGGCCTCCACCTGCCCCACCTCGGCCTCCACCTGTCCCACCCAGGCCTCCACCTTTCCCACACCTGACGCTCCACCGTGCCCACCTTAGGCCGCTCCACCTGTCCCCACCTAGGCCTCCACCTCACCTAGGCCACCTCTCCACCTAAGCCTCCACCTGCCACCTACGGCCTCTACCCTGTGTCACCCCAGGCTCCTACCCTGTGTCACCAGGCTCCACCTCGCCCACCTGGCTCCACCTTGCCCCACCATAGGCCCTCCACCTGCCCCACCTAGGCCTCCACCTGTCCCACCTAGGCCTCCACCTGTGTCACCCAGGCCTCCACCTGTCCCACTTAGGCTTTTACCTGTGTCACCCAGGCCTCCACCTATCCCATTTAGGCCTCTACCTGCCCCACCTGGGCCTCTACCCTCCCAGCTCAGGCCCTGCTGTCCCCATCCTGGCCAAATCTGCTGGCTTCAACCAGTGCAGCCCAGTGGCGTTGGGCACTAGCTCATCTGGCCCTCACAGCACACCTCAGGGGGCTGCTATGCTCCCGTTTTATAAATGGGAAAATGAGACCCATTGAGGATTTAATTACTTGTTCAAGGCACCTCTGAAGCTGATCCTATGAATTTATCTGCCTTCTTATCATCATTTTCCATGACCCTGAGACCCAGAGCTAGGAAATGGTCTCCAGTTCCAGTGGAGGGTCATCCAGCCCTGTACCCCCTCAGGCCTTGCCCCACCACCACACCAGGCCCATGCCCACTGTGCACCCACCCACCCACCCCTGTCATCCTCTCTTCTCTACCTGCTTTGGCTAACTGTCCTCTCTTCTCTGCAAGCCCTCAGCACCCTGGCACCTGATGGACTCTGTTGCCAACTCTGCCTACTGGTTCAGGCCTCAGTTTCCTTACCTCCACCATGGGGATCATGAAACCCACCTCCAGTGTGGCAGTGAGGATTCAACCAAAAAACATTCTCTCCCTTCCCTCTCCTTCTCTTTCTCTTTCCCCCTCCTCCATAGCTCAGGTAGGGCATCCAGTGCGGGTGAGCTACCAGCTTCTTGAGGAAGGAACTGTGTCCCTCCAGTTCCTCCTCTTATCAACCCAGGCCCCGTTATCAGAGGCAGATCTCGCTTTGCTTTTTAAGCATCTGCTGTACTTGAGCTGTACTCTGTTGACATCACAACCCCCTCTGTTTACTCTGCAAACAGAGAAGCCCTTTGCAACCTCAGTCCTTGATGACCTCTAGAGGACAGGAGGAGTCTAGCTGGACAGGTTGGGGCCAGTCAGGGAGGTGTCCCCAAAACGTGTTAAACTGCAATCAGGACACAGTCCATTTCTAGGACTGGGAACACACCTGCATTCAGATGTCAGTGATGAGTTACATCCCGAAGCCAAATAGAAAGGATGTGGGGATTGGCTACTGTTCCTGGTGATTCACATCTGTAAATAAGAGTTGAACTGATTCACACGTGTGACTGAAAGTAGTTCTTTAAAAATTACTTAAAATAGTGAACTACAAAGAGGCACAAAGAATAACAACACCCATGTAGCTGCCTTCCAGCTTAAGATAGAAAATATTCTCACAGCTAAACTAAATGTATGATCCTTGCTTGGATTCTTTCTGGGGTAAAATAAAGCCATCAAGGTCGCTCTTGGGACCATTGGGAGATATCTGATTTTGTAACATATCTAGATAATAATATTATATCAGCTGGGTGCAGTGGTTCACACCAGTAATCCCAGCACTTTGGGAGACCGAGGTGAGCGGATCACCTGAGGCCAGGAGTTCGAGAACAGCCTGGCCAACAGCCCCATCTCTACTAAAAATACAAAAATTAGCCGGGTGTGGTGGTGTACACTTGTAATCCCAGCAACTCGGGAGGTTGAGGCAGGAGAATCGCTTGAACCCAGGAGGTGGAGGTTGCAGTGAGCCCAGATCGCGCCACTGTACTCCAGCCGGGGCAACAAGAGCAAAACTCCATCTCAAAAAAATAAAAATAATAATACTGTATCAATGTGAAATGTCCTGAGTGTGGCCATGACACTGTGGATAGGTAGAAGAATGGCTTGTTCTTAGGAGACACCAGCTACATATATAAGGGTGAGGTGTCATGATGACTGTAATTTATCCTCAAACGGATCAGAAAAAAATAAAATACATACACATAGAGAGAGGCAGAGAGCAAATGTGGTACAAATGTTAATAATTAGTGAGTTCAGTGGGTGGTATCATTGTATTATTTGTTCAATTTGTCGGTTTGAAATTTTTCAAAATTAAAAGTTGTTAGAGGAAAAAAATTTACTAATTATATTTAAACATTGAAATCTCTCAATAAAAAAATAAAATGCTCCTAAGGTAGCTGAAGCCCCGTGTGGGGCTGTGCCCTGACCGTGGGTTTCTCGTGCCTGTGCAGACCTTCGTGCCTCCTGAGCCAGTGAGTCATCCTTTCGGTGGTTCGGGTGCCAGTTTCTGTCTCCCCTGCCTGCCAGACGGGAATCCTTGTGAGGGTGGGGCAGGGCCAGGCCTTCTTCTCCACGTCCCTGCCAGGCCACGCTCTGTGCTAGGCACACAGAGGAGCTCCCTGAGGGCTGGGGCTGCCTGACGAACAACACTCCCCGCTCTGCCCCTTTCTCCTGCGCTCCATCTCCAAGCCCACATCTGGGCTCCCCGTGGTGCCAAGTCTTCCTTGCAGTCATGCCTTGAGGCACCCAGAGTTCCTCTCTGAGTCTTCCCAGGCCCCTTTTACCTGGTCTCCCAGCATGATCCATGTCAGCCTTGGGGGGATGTCTTCATGGTGAACTGAGGGTGGGCCCCGCTCCACAGAGTACCCATGTAAAAACAACCAGCCTATCATTTTTAGGTGAACATACACTTGACTCCATGATGGCGCAGAACACAAAGTCCACCTGAGTCTTAAAGCTAAACTGTGGGTCTTGAAAGACACACCCTGTTTGCGGAGGGCCTGTCTGCCAGTTAACAGTGTGGCTCTCAGGGTCAGGAGAGGACAAAAGCTGGGCCCTGCTTACCTGGGGCGGTCTTTGGGAGAGTCAGGTGAGATGGCAGAGAGGACAGCACTTGGAAAAGTGAATCAGATGCAGAGGTCTGTCTGGGGCAAGCCCTTGGGTTCACGGCTACCCTCACTCGGAGGGAACCTGGAGGAGAGAGAAGTTATGGCCCTCGCGATGGGGGCCGGGTCTTGAACTCTCAGCCTAAGAGCCCCGAGTCTGAGCTCCCCCATGCACTGCAGCCTCCAGGCAGTTGGGCCTCACCAGCATCGGGCACCATTCCCGCTCTGCCTCCATTCCTCTCTCGAAGCTTTCTTTTCCTCCCCCAGTCCCTGGTTGCTCTCATGCCCCCACCTGCCCGCCAAGGCAGGAGCCCAGCCCTCCGGTGCCTGGTCTCAGCCCCACGCCCCCGTGTGTGTGTCCTCCTCAGGTGGTGTGTGCCAGGTGCTCCGACTACCGGGCCGAGCTGAAATATAACGACAATAGGCCAAACCGAGTCTGCCTCCACTGCTACACATTCCTCACTGGAAACGTGCTCCCTGAGGCCAAGGAGGACAAGAGGCGGGGCATCCTGGAGGTGAGGGCCACTGTCTCCATGCTCACCATCCGTCCTCTTTTCAGGGAATGTGTGCCCAGCAACCACCCTGGGCTGACACTGTCCAGTGCTGAGGAATAAGCCAGCCGTGGTCACACCCTCCCTCCACTCCCTCCTCCTCTCTCTGCCCACAGACCCTGGTCTCTCCCCACAGCCCAGGCAGTGCGGAGCCTGTCACCAAATGGAGGTACCCTTTGGCTGCAGGCTGTCATCCACATTCTTCTGCGCTTCCTCTATGTCCTTATCCAATAGTACGCCCCCTCTGGACAGCTCCTGTTCACATCCCCACGTCCTGCCCCAACAGTCCCAGGGTGACAAGAGCTGGTCACTGATTCCATTTTACAGATGGGAACACAGAGGCTCCAGGTCAGACAGATTGGAGATTCCATTCTAACTGGAAGGGACTCCAGGAGCCAGTCAGTCTTATCCCATGGAGACCCAGGGCTGGAGAAGTGACTTGCCCAAGATCACACAGCAAGTTAGGAGCCAGCTCTCTGATCTCAGCCACAGATGTTCTTTCTGTTGCCCTGGGGGCCTCACTGAGCCACACTTGCCCCCACAGGTGCTCCCTTGTGGGGGTACAACTGTGCTCAGCTAAGCACCACAAATACAATGTCACCCAGCCCAGCATCGGTACCACCATCCACTGCCCCTCCCTCATGAAGGCCAGGTTGATATCCTACTGTCCCTGGGAGGTGGGAGAAGGTCCAGTCTGTGCCAGCTGAGATTCACTCCCAGGTTCAAGTTGGCCTCTTTTGGCCAGGTGGGATGGCTCATACCTGTAATCCCAGCACTTTAGGAGGCCGAGGTGGACGGATCACCTGAGATCAGGAGTTCGAGACCAGACTGGCCAACATGGTGAAGCCCCGTCTCTACTAAAAATACAAAAAAAAAAAAAAAAAAAATCATCCGGGCATGGTGGTGCATGCATGTAATCCCAGCTACTCAGGAGGCTGAGGCAGGAGAATCTCTTGAACCCAGGAGGTGGAGGTTGCAGTGAGCCCAGATCGCGCCACTGTACTCCAGCCGGGGCAACAAGAGCAAAACTCCATCTCAAAAAAATAAAAATAATAATACTGTATCAATGTGAAATGTCCTGAGTGTGGCCATGACACTGTGGATAGGTAGAAGAATGGCTTGTTCTTAGGAGACACCAGCTACATATATAAGGGTGAGGTGTCATGATGACTGTAATTTATCCTCAAACGGATCAGAAAAAAATAAAATACATACACATAGAGAGAGGCAGAGAGCAAATGTGGTACAAATGTTAATAATTAGTGAGTTCAGTGGGTGGTATCATTGTATTATTTGTTCAATTTGTCGGTTTGAAATTTTTCAAAATTAAAAGTTGTTAGAGGAAAAAAATTTACTAATTATATTTAAACATTGAAATCTCTCAATAAAAAAATAAAATGCTCCTAAGGTAGCTGAAGCCCCGTGTGGGGCTGTGCCCTGACCGTGGGTTTCTCGTGCCTGTGCAGACCTTCGTGCCTCCTGAGCCAGTGAGTCATCCTTTCGGTGGTTCG